GGACCATACTTCACAAATTATATGCCACTCCCTTTAATGTCACTATGTTTTGTATATTCCCAAATCTTTTCCCCTAATATTTACTGTTACTGGGTTAAGCCTGACTTTGTACTTCTTATTCCTGTGCTACTGCCTGATAACTAGTTTCTTTCAATTTCACACTATGTTTTGTAAAATAATTTAGATATCTTCCATTGGTCTGCATGTCTATGCTTCAAAGAATCCTAGGATTATATGAAAGAGGAAAGCCATATCCTCAGATAAGCCATTAGGTATATTCTGAGGAAATGTTCAATATGTGTATATTGTCTCCATGATTTAAAAAAAAAAAGGTTAAGAAAGTAAAGTTGTATGAAATGTTCTTGGATGACAAAATTTGATAAAAGAGTAAAAAGTATATTCTCAGAGTTAGGAAGGAAAAATCCCAACTTCTTACCTAGCATATCCATTAGCACTGAATATTTTTAACTTCTGTCATTATAGCCTATCTATGCTTCATTCTTGAAACGTGCCTTTTCACATCCTTGCAGTAGTAGTTTCCTATAGTTGCTAACAAATTATCACTAGCTTTAGTGGTGTAAAAGTCTCTTTAATTTTAATTTTATATTTCTTGAGTTCAGAAGTCCAAAACACAAAATCAGGCTAATTCGTGGTGCTGGAATGCCTGCAGTTCTTCTGCAGGTTCTACTAGAGAATATTTGGTTAATGTTCTTACCCAAGAAGCCGCAAATTTTCATTGGCTCATGGAATGTTCTTCATTCATCAAAATACAGGAATTGAATCTCAAACTTTAACTTATGTTCTCTTTCTTTGATTCTTCAACTGTCCTTTTACAAGAGAGTTTGTAATTACTTTGTGCATATGGGAATGATCATCTCCCACTTAAGAATCCTAATCACATCTACGCAGTGCCTTTGCAGTGTATAAGGTAGCGTAGTCACAAGCTCCAGAGATTTGGATGTGGACATGTTTGGTGATGGGAGGGGGTATCATTCTGACACTTAATCTTCATTCTAGACCCTTAATTCCCTTTCCTTTTAAAAGTCTGTCCTTCATGGCTTAAGTGAAAGCTACTTCCTTTGAAAGCTCTTTCCTTGACTTTACCAAACTCAGTCCAGAGCAGAATTGATAGATTCCTCCCTCTACTCCCTCAGCACATTTTACTCACCATATGGCAACAGCACCAGTCTAATTAGGTGAGCATTCGTCTTCTTTATTGGTCTGTGAACCTCCTTTATTAGACCGCCTCGTGTCCTCTTTGCGTCCCCTTGGCACCATAGCACAGCATTTTGTAACTAGTATATACTCAGTAAGTGCTTATCAGATGATGAGCTGGAATGCCAAAACTGAACGGTATATAACAGCAGCCACAGTCAATCTTTCATTCACTCATTTATTCTGTTTTTTTTTTCACAAAGCATTCATTGAGCATTGGAAATAAAGAGTTGAATAAAACACATTTGTCCTGCAGAGGCTTCAAGCCTAGTAAGATAAAAAGATATGTAAATAAAGACATAAGCTAATACTGTCAACGATATTTAAAAAAACCTTGCACACAAAAACTTTCAGAGATTATGAGCAGCATCTGTCATAGTATTACTACTATTGCTGCTGCTGCTACAACTACTATCAAAAACAGTGAACTACACTAACAACAGTAGCAGCTTTCTTTTATTGAGTGCTTTCAATGTTTCAGTACTGTTCTAGGCACTATATGTACTGTTATACACTTATTTTGCAAATAAAAAACTGGCCACAAAGTGGATGGAGATGTCATTTGCCTAAAATCACACAGATGCTCAGTGGCAAAGCTGAGATAAGAACCTAGCTGAGATAAGAACTTACTGCTCTTTTTCACTCTGATGTACTCATTCATCTCACATAAGATTTAATAGTGGTTTACATAAAGCCAAGAGTTATAAGGTGTTCTTGACAGGAAATAGGCAAGCACTTTTAGGTCCTACCATTCAGAAATTAAAGCCTTTTAAAATTAGTTCACTGATAGCAGGAACTACTGTAAGACAATAAGAAAATACTAGAGAGCCTCAGTAAATGCTTATACAGCGCTCCCTCCCATCCAGTTTTGCTTTCCATAGTTTCAGCTGCCCACAGTCACCCATGTTCTGCAAATACAAATGGAAATTTCCATAGATAAATAATTCATGAGTTTTAAATTTTGTGCTCTTCTGGGTAGTGTGATGACATCTCATGTTGTCATCTTCTATTCTACCTGGGAGGTATGAATTATTCTTCTAGCCAGCATATCCATGATATGTATGCAACTCACCTTTTAGTCATTTTGTAGCCATTTCCGTTATCAGATTGCCTCTGATGGTATTGCTGTGCTTGTGTGCAACTAACCCTTAGGGTAATTACCTAAATCTGACTCATAACCCACATTACCTACTTTACTTCAACACAATGCGTAGGACTTGCATCATCTCACATCACTACAAGAAGTGTGAGTATAGTACAGTATGATACTTTGAGAGAAAGAAGAATCATATGACTTTTACTGTTAGTACATAATTCCTTCATCTAATTTATAAATTAATCTATCATCAGTCTCTCTATATAGGAAAAACATAGGATGCACAGGTTTTGGTACTATCTGTGATTTCAGACATCCCCTGAAGGTCTTGGAACACATCACTTGCTGATGAGGGGGAACTACTATATAGAGTGTGCACAGATATTTCTAGGTAACAATATTGATTTTATTCACCAGAAGAGCAAGCTTGGATTTCTGTGCCTCAACACATTTAATCTTTCAATTTAAGATACAATAAATTTCCTCAAAGATATATGTAAAGATTATTATAGTTTGACCAAGATATTAAATCCATGTAATCCCCCCATACACACTTTCAAAGGTTTCAATTAAGGATCTTGATGTTACCACATTGATACTTTTTAAACCAATTTGATTTTAAAAAGTGGAATTGCAAAGTAACCTGTATGCCTCATAGAAATGAAGTGAGTAGGAGGTTGTATTTTGAACAAAGGTAACGCAACAAGATAGTGAAGCTGGAAGGCTTGCAGTATATAGTTGAATCCTGGAGTTCCTTGGGAAGCGCTGATTAAACTCACACTGAGAGAGGAACTGATTCTCACTGCTAACCTGAAGGCTGAAGATATCAGCTTGAAGATTTCCTGCTGCTCCAGTTAGTGCGGTGGCTGGGGAATGGGATTTAGGTTTTAGGAATACATGACTCAGACTTGCACTTTAATGTGGCAGTTTCTCAGATGTGTCTGATGAATCAGCTTTTAGGCTGAGTTTCATTCATGTCTCTCTATGAATACAAGGTCATTGCTTAGAAACTGAAGCCAGCTATCACCATTTAAAGATGTGCTAGTCGAGCATATAGCTCAGTGGCATAGCACCTGCCTCGCACGTGTGAGATCCTGAGTTTGATTGCTGGCACTCCCCCCCCAAAAAAATTAAAGGCGTCCTAGACTTTAATTAATTAATTCATTCCTTTATTCATTTATTTGGTGTCAGGAATCAAACTCAGGACCTTGCACCTGCCAGGCAGCACTGGGCCTCTGAGTCATATCCCTGGCCTTGGATTTTAAAAATAGTTTTTTCTCAATGATAATTTATAAATTCTCTGATTTTCTGACAAAAATGATCAGAGTGACATTTTGCTACAAATGAATGATTTCAATTTATTTTGTGTGGATTAAATGTGTATTAATAGACTTTTATTAATGTGAATAAATTAATCCCTTAAAATATTCAGAGGCATCTAAGACTCTGAAAGAGCAAAATGTGTGACTGTCAAACCACCATTTCAGCTTCCTCGATAAAGCCATGGAGACAGAAACCTGCACACGATCAGTCTTTCAAAGAATCTTGTGCAGGCATGAGTCATATTTGAACTATTTTCTGACTTGCCACTTCTTCTTTTTCAATTCAGTCTTTTAGCTCTGCTGTCTCGGTCTTTCACAAAAAGAAAAGGAACAGAGAGAAGAAGGATGGTTGCCGAGGGTTGGGAGGGCACTGGGGAGCGGGAGATGTTGGACAGAACATACAAACTTGCATTTACAGAACGAATACATTCTGGGGATCTAATACACAGCGTGGGGTTAGAGTCGACAGCAGTGCATTATATAATTGAAATTTGCTGAAAGTAGATTTGAAGTGCTCTGACAACAAGTAAAACAATCGCTCTGTCTAATGATAGATATGTTAACTAACGCGATTGTGATAATCGCCTCATAAGGTATGTGCTTATATCCATCACAGTGTACAATTTAAATATGCATAATTTTCTCGACTATATCACAAAATGTTGAAAAAAAGAGGGATGATTTTCTGAGGAAGACAATGTGAATATGGCTAATTTCAAGTGGAATGTTTTCCCCTTTTGAAAGCCAAACACTAGTGTCGTGTCCCCACTTCTAGCCTCCCAAGGGCCTTATAATAAGAAGAAATGCTGTTTTTGTAGCTTTCATTAAGAGCATGGCTTATTTCAGTAGAAACAAAAGCACAAAAATTCCCCTGAAGTATCTTTTCAAGTCCTTTGAAAGATAGTTGCAAAATCACAAATAAACCTTTAGAGGCACAAAATTTACGATTTCACCTTGATTGGAAAGAAAGACACTATGTAAAACTATGTTGTTTGCAGCATGGGATATCTAAAAATGTCAGTTTTGGCAACTTGTACTGAAGATAAGTTATTAGTGAAACAGTTCTTCTGAAGGGATTGTTTCCACCAATTTAAATATAATTCAAACTTAAAGAGAAATTCTAAACCTTAAATGAATATAACATTTTAAAGCATTTTGAGAAGCCTATAGAGACATAATTTTGGCATTAGTAGTTTGATTTACCTTAAAGACCAGAACATATGGGAAATGTAATAGAAATCCTATCCATGTTCTTTCTTTTTGTGTAATTCATTGCCCTAATCATATCTGATCAAAAGTATTAAAAATATTATAATGTTGCTATCTATCTTTAAAAATGTATGCTTTTCTTTTTATCTTTGCTTTAGGGAACAGCCTTTAAGAGCTGGAAGATGAAAGCTCCAATTCCGCATTTGATTCTCTTATATGCTACTTTCACTCAGAGTTTGAAGGTTGTGACCAAAAGAGGCTCTGGTAAGAAGTGCTTCTCCTTTACCCTCACTTTCAAAGCTTAGAATGATGCTGCCGCATTTACATATGTGTATTAGTGAGAGGTTAAGAATTGTAGAGAATCTCTATTGTGGATATGTTATAAATATATGGATAATTAGTGGAACTCATTAATTGTGAAATATAAATGTGAGGATGGGTTGAAATTAATGTGGCTTTTGTTGAGGATTATGAATAGGAATGGATTCAATATCAAAGGCTTTCATTTTGGTATCATATAGTATGATTTTCTACCTTCTTTTATAGAGAGTGTCATTTTAATTTTTGCTTGGAAATAGGGTACATTCTGTGTGTGTGTGTGTATGTGTGTGCGTATGCTTGTGCCACCACTTCATTGTCAGCTGATATACTGAATTACATGGAAGTACTTAAAGAAAGCATCAGTGTTATTTAAGAAAATGTCACAGGGACATACTGTCATATTTTAGTAGGAAACAGGTAGAGTAGAACAGTAATGAAAATATCTTCTACAATAATAATGTTGACACTTAATGGAAATCTCTATATTTTATGAGACATCTGAGTTTTTAGTTGAATGTTGCTACTTGGAATTAGGAGGTGAGGATGTGTATGGGACTATTGAATGCCTATTGCTGTGAATCTGCAGCTGATAAATCAGAAAATAGAAAGCCTTGGCATCTGTACCCCTGCAGAGGGGTAAGAAAGTTTTTGATTTTATACTTTTTAGGTATAAAGAAAAAGATATGCCTTGTGTTTAGCTATTAGAACTAGAATGTGTTCTCTGTGAGTTCTAGAGAGACAGTAGGAAGAAAGAGATGAGATAATGTTCATGAGGCTGCACAGGGCTGGAGTACTGGAAATTGCATCTTGAAATTCAGAAAGGAGAGGAAAGAAAGCGTTGAGATGGGCTGGTGCACACACGGACAAGGGTTTGAGGTACAGCTGAAAGTAAAAGGCATTTTACTGAGCCTATCGGTGGTTCTAGAACGATTTATTATTGTGTAGTTCTATGTGCCATTGATGGAATTCTAAGCAATGTGAGAAACGACTGTGTCTATGTTTACACATTATTTCATCCATATTTATACACTGGATATTTTTAATGAAAGAAAGCTAGAGGATGGGATTATAATTATAGATTGAATCTTAAAAAATTCATTTTACTAGTTGAAACACCTGATAATATAAAATCTGTTTTCATTCCAAATTCTGTGTATGTTTGTCCCATCTATGATTTATTTATTGGAATGTGAATGTGATTTTCTCTCATCATAAAATAGTGGTGACAAGTCCATTCTATATAACCTATTATTGGAGGGCAAGAAGGTTTATCAAATTGGCTCTTACTTTGCATGTTTGAAAAGTGTGGAGCAGACACGTCAATGTGAGGCAGTTTGAAAATTCTTATCTCCTTCTACCCCAGAGACTTGGGAAAACTCAACAGCTCATTTCAAGTTCAATTTTTATTTTTAAATATTAAATATAATTATTTAGCTGTGCATTACTGAAATGTGGTTGTAAATTATGTAGAAATTCTGAGACCTTGCTCTTTTTGTTTAGGAAGATAGTTTTCACATAAGTACTTATCAAAATCCAAACAAATCTAATTTTATATCACAAAGTAACAATGGCAAATAAAGTAAGTACCAGGATCTTGCAGGGTGCTTGCTTTATTTTTATCTACAATTTGAAATAAGATATCCTCTCTCAGTGTGTATGTTAAGACCCTGACAAATGAAAAGCTGATTGTTTGGTTTTTGGATGTCAAGTGCACTGTTTGGGAATGAATATTATTTTATCTACTTTCACAAATTGCACTCATTTCCGATAATGTCTGTTACCATGGCACCTTTGTTTGTAAGAAGCAGATATGTAGAGTACTGAATAGCATCATTACTGATCTCTATAGATGAAGTAGAAGAGGTGTGCACTTGGCATGTTCTCCTTAAAAGATTAATGGTTCAATCTTCACGCTCAGCCCAACCTATAAACTTAGAGACACCAAGGCCAGAGAGTCAAAATCAATTTTTGATGTCTGATCTTGCATATTAACTAAGACAGCTACTTTTCCTTGTTATTTCTTTTTCCCATTTACTTCTTATGATTCTTATTTCGTATTAATCTTTTTAAATGTACAACAATCATGATCACAATCCAGTTCTTTTTACATGTCTTTTACTGGAATGTAATTTTTAATTCACTGTGACCTCTAAGAAATCACAACTAGATAGTTCAGTAATTAAGACCATATTAAATATGATTATTATGCACACTCCAAAGTTGAATTCTTATGGCATATTGATTGTGTATAGTGTCTGCATTTGAGTAACACATGCAGTCATTCCATAAAAATTTAGAAGTATTTGCTTCTCATTAACAAAAGTAATTTAAAAGCAATAGGAGCACTTATTACACAAGCTGTAGATGCATTATTTTTATCGCATTGGCCTACACCCCTACGGCTATTAATTTAGGGAACAAATTGAATCTTTTAAGGCAGTTATATCATTATAATATCTTTGATTGAAATATAAAATACAAGTTTATAATGTTTTCAGTGACATGTCAGATATGTGCTTGTTATGACAAATAGGGATTAAGACTAATCTCTCAGGTAATGTTCTAAGGTTCTCTACATATTTAGAAACATGACTTCTAATGCTTATGAGACCAGATATTCAGCCTTTGTTACATAATAGATTTTTCTCCTGAAGCAATTTCATACTTAAAAAATAACTTAGAAGCTGCAGTATAAGAAAAGCAGACTATCAGTACTACTTATCCCTCTCAAGTGTGTGAAGTGTTACAGGAATTCAGTAAGTAAACATTTGAGTTGCTCTCATTTATGGGATTCTGTGCAAAAACACATGCAAAGCACATGCTCACTTGAAGATTTCTACTGCAACTCATGTAAAAAAATTAGCTTTACATTGTTATTTGTGTCTGCCCTTGCTTCCTTTTGTTTCTTCCCTCCCTCCCTCTCTTCTTTCTTTCCTTATTTTTACTGTATTTTTTTGCAAATAAAAATAATATATTATGATATCGCTACTGTCTTTGAAACACTTTTTAAATATAAAAATATTGTCATTAATATTTTAAAGGCTCAGCACCCATAAAACGCTATATCTTTACCAATTCATTCAAAGAGCTTCTGTATGGGTTTCTTAAAAAATTAATGGCTATTCATGTAATGACCATCTATATCTATCAATCAATTTAACTATCTATGCATCCATACATAGGTGGGTAAATATAGTTAAATTGTATAAATAAAAGAATCTGGGGTATGTTTTGAAAGCACAGAAGTAATATGAACTGTTTAAGGACTAGTACGGACAACCATGAATAGCACTTTGGAGGAAGCAATGTGTGAGTTGCAGTTTTGTTAAAGAATTTTGAATACTGAAGAGAAATGTAGCTAGGGGAGTTTGCATGTGTAAATTAGAAGAGAGTACGTTCTATAATGATTGTTCCTTTGCCTATTTCTCTTGGCTATCTTTTCCATCCTTAGAATATTAGAAGGTGAATTCATGGACCATAACTTGTATATTTTGGTCTCTATTGAGCCAAATACAGGTGATGATCAAAATATATAGTGAATGTTTACACTTAAAAAACTTACTGCAGTAAAAACACCTTGTCATTAATCCCCCTCAGAATATTTACCTTCACCTAGAACACATTTGTTTGTTGTTCTTGGCACTTTCCGAAGCAGTTCTGGAAGTTCTTTTTTGTGAGTTTCTTTATGAGGTGTGATCAAAAAATATAGTGAATGCCGTTGCAGAGCGCCATGCAAAGGAACAGTAGGCTCATGAAAATATTACGGTGTGTCTTTATCCACTTTATTCACTGCATGTGATACTGCGATTTCTAGCTCTTCCACAAAGTCAAAATTACTCTGAAAGGCAAACTTTTTGAACTGGTTCTTTACATGGAACCAGCCACAGCAATGCAACTGAGAAAGCTCATGGAAGAGAACTTCCGGAACTGCTTTCAAAAATTGCAAGAATGATGGGAAAATTTTGTTTGAAGTGAGAGGGAATATTCTGAAGGAGATCAATGACAATATGTCATTAACTGTAATGTGTGTTTTTGTAAATTTACACATTCACTGTATTTGTTGATCACACCTTGAGCAGTGTGTAATTCTGATTCAGAGTTCATGGAAATGTCTTAGTGAGATGATGAGTGCATGCATGTGTGATATTAATATTCAGTCTGGGTCACTTCAGGAAGAATACCACAGCACCAAAATGGCACTAGAAAGATAAAAAGAAAGTAAAATGTGGCACTGAAGAAAAGGAAAACTTTTTAATAAAGAAATATCAGGATAATACTGTATAGTATGACACTATAAAGCAAATGTATAATCTCAGAGTAAACAATATCTAGGACCTGTTAAGCAGATTAGCTGAAAACAGTGAACGATTACAAATCATGAGTGTTTTCACAGGCTTGGAATGCAGTTGAAAATCTGTCACAAGTAAGGGACAATGCATCTCCAAATATTTATCCATTGGGATTTCACTATATCTAATGCTGCTTTAAAGAATTCTTAATATTGTTGTGCATATGTTTTGGTGTTAATGGTATTACTCAATATTGCCATCAGGAAAAGGGTGGAGCTCATGATTAGTGATACATGATAAATAAACAAGTGACTTCAGTACAATGTATTCATAAGTATTGGAGCATGTGGAGAATAGTACGTGACTGTATTACATAAACTACAAAGTCCATGTTGTTCTACAAGGGATTTAAGATAGGAAAAAGTTCCATAAAGCAGTTTGCTATTGGAGAATAAAAGGACTGCCACATGGGGAAATAATCTTCTCTTGAAGAAGAAAGTGACAAGGGATACCTGTTTGTGGAAAATTATTTAGATGCAATTCTTACTGACAACATGAGGAAGGCAAGTCTCAAGAGGTTTTCTGAAACTTGTAACATTAGGCCCAAATAATTTATAAAGTACTTAAATCACCAAAGATACAGTTTAGGATCTC